TCTCGGAGGCAGAGGAGCCTGCAGGCAGGATGCACTGTGCTAACCAGCACTTGGAGCTTTGCAGTGGCGTTTTTGAAGGGCTTTAAATGCACTCTAGAGAACTGCAAGTACCTGCAAGCCAAAAGAATCTTAAATGTAAGTCCCAAATCTGATTTCTTGCAGACATTTTTGTGAACCAGAATCTCGGTAATATTCTGTAAATTGGCCACTGACCTCTTTCCATTCTTGGCTGTGAAAACTTTCCTCAGTAAGAGGAATAATTCCCCTTTCAATTTAGTTCCCTTTTAAATATAGTCTCCAACAGCTTTTGCTGCTTGCATCTACTGATTTCTGTCTGTGAATTGTGTGTTTTTTTTCATTTGTTTTTTTCTGCATCATGAAATGAGCAGAAGTGTTTCACCCTGGTATCTGAAGATGTGTTAATTCATAATTAAAGCTGTGATGTTCAGAGGTATGTTTATCAAGCAAAGAGGGAATGAGAACCTTCAAGAGAAGTCAGGCAACATGTGACCTGAGAAGAAGGTTTAATGTTAGAAAACACAGTGACTAATGTTTTTTTCTGCGAACTGCAGACTTGTAATTGGTGTTTGCCAATAGAAGCAGTGTCCTTTTCCTCCTATTTTGACTTGTGCTTCTTGAACACCAACAAATATGTTTTGCCTTTAAAATATATTTTAGCTATAGAATTGTGTGTCTAATGTGTGTAGATTTATTTAGTAGCTTTAATATTTTTAGAGCAGAGGGAACCAGAATCCTAAAAGTCATTAAATTCAGCCATTGCATATTGTCATGGTCTATAAAACTTAATAATGAGGTTTTATTAAATTCCAGGAGAAGCAAATGCTTTGTTTAATTAACTCCTGCTATTAACATTTTCATTTTTATTTCTAAACAAATTTGTCTAGTCTCATCTCCCTGTCTTTAGATCCCAGTGTGTCATCCGGCACTTCATTAAAACATCCTTCATTGTCCATGGCCTTTGCTTCACACAGATGTTGTTAAGCTGTGATACTTACTCCTCTGGATAAACTAAATAGACTGGGTTTGTCATCTCTCTGTAAAATAGGATTTTCCTTAAGTAAGGTTGCTAGTATAGTGTTTTCCTGGACCTTCTCTAGTTTTCAAGAACGTGGGACTAGAAGAAAATCATCAAACATTACCACAGGCAGTTGCCAGTTGATTTGCCAGAACCAGTCCAGTTTCCAGCCCAAATTTATTCATGGCTGAACTTAAGCCCCTTTGTTCTTGTGTTTCTCAGTTCTAGTAGTTATTTGCTGCCGTTACTCCTACTTTGCTGCTATTTTTTTCTACACCAATGCTATAAACACCAGTGTCGGAGGAGTAAAAATAAGTAACTATTTGAATTAGATTAGAAAATAAAAGAATATTTCTAAGTATGTCAAGATAAAATTCTGGATTATTCCTTTCAATATCCTCTTGGAAGAGTGGGCTACAGCACTGGGTGGAGTGCTGCAGCTGGAATCTTACAGATAGATGAACTCATCACTGTGCAGGACTTCTGGTCTAAAATTGTGAACTCCTCTGTTCTTCTTTCAGCTCTGCTTTTGCTGTCGAACAAGAAGGTTTTCCTTCTTTACCTGGTCTTACACTTGTCAGTTCTGTAAGAGGTAAATATTCAATATCTGGTAATAATTAAGTACTATTTCAGAGTGAAATATAAAGAAGATTTGTACATTAGAAGCCTTCCAGTAATTCTGCTGCAAAGCATTTATTGTTCTTTTGTTTATGTAATTACAGACAAGGTTACAAAAGTAGATAGCTAAAAACTGTTCCCATTTGAGTGCAGACCTACTTCCTTAAATTGAAATTCTTTGGTAAAAGTGAGAGAAACACTAATTTCTTCTTGTTTTGTGTGTGTGCTAATGGGAGGGTAAGGTGGATTTTATTCAGACTCCCCCACCAACAATTATAAAATTTTCCTATTGGTGGGGATTTTTTTTCAAGACAAATGCATATGTTGCATTTTGGGTTATTTTTAGGGAACTGGAGCGTGGGGGGAAAAGTAATGAATATTTTACTGCCAAAATGAAAAATTTTAAGAAGTGAAGAAGTGAGACAGTAAGTCTGGAGATGTGTGGAATCACTGATGTTTTGTGTCACTTACCAAGGGATGTTCCCTTAGAGAAAAAAGGGTTACTTTGTTTCCCCTGTTTTGTTTCAGCTGTTATATTGTTTAGCCCTTTTCTCTTCTTCAGTTAGTATTTTCAAGAAGCTTTAAAAATAAAAATTCCTTTTTAATGGGATGGAGCAGGATTTTAACCCTTGAAAGCATTCTTCTCTTATTCTTGATTTAAATATAATTTTTGCCGGTAGGATAACTCATACTGTCACTTTTCTACACAGGCCTGTATGCTCACAGTGTTGCAAAAAAGTAAGTAAATAAATATATAGTTTGCCCTTTCTTAAAAATCCGTAATCTTTGGCACTGATGCTTCACACCTTCCTTTGTCTGTTCTCATGACAGATGCGACTGCCATCAAAGCCATATTCCACCCTCCCCATCTTCTCACTGGGACCATCAACCTTGCAGAGAGGAGAGAGCTTCATGAGGCCGGAGAAACCCTCCACCAGTCACCACCGGTCCCTGCGGAGCATGCCCAGGTGAGAAGCGTCTGTAGCTCCTGTCTTTCTTTTGGAAATAATTCCTAAGCATTTCATCTCAAGTTGTCAGTCACTAAGAAGAGTCTGTCTACCTGTTTTGTAGCTTTTCGTGTTTATAATACTTCCAATAACCTTTATGAAGACTGAAAAAAAA